CTTGAATTGGATCCTCCGACACATCGATCCAACTTTCTACCGTGCACTCTCCTCCCCATCCGACCAAACGAAACTTTTTCTTTTCGTTGGCACCGACTCTGCAGATTTGGAAGTGGAGCCTTTATTCTTTGAAGTTTTTTCTTCTTCCCGGACTCCGCCTCTCACTAAGTAGCTTGGTCATGTGGAAATTGCGTCTCCGGCATGTAATGAGGTTGCGTCTCCGGAATGAAGTTTGGAAACGTTAGGCCTTGAGAGCCACCCGAAGAGAAATTCGGGGATAGAGTCCAATACTCAAATCCCCCGAAAATCGGACGATAACAATAATCGAACATATTTCCGGCGTTCGGATCGAAGGGGGACGTTTTTTTGTCAAAAGGACCGTTGGAGCATTGAAACAAAAAAAGGTAACAGTCAGTCGACTCTGGTCGTGACCATGGCAAGTCTCACAGACCGTGGTCGCGAGGGGGGGGGTGTTTGCCGTGAGAGGGGGGACGACGTGGTGATACCACGCGGGACCACGGCGGGTTGGGCGTGGGCATTACGCCTTGTCTAATGAAATTGGGTGAAATATATTAAATGAGATAAATAAGGTGTAAAAAATAAAGTAAGTGAAGGAAGTTGTGGTATTTTAAATGTTAAAAAAGTAATGAAAAATTTTTCACAGACAAAGAAAAAAAGGTATTTGGGAAGATCCATGGTAAAGAGAAGGAATATTTATTAATAAATTTGGTAGAAAAAAGTAAATGGAATACTCCTCCGTAAAAAATGTACTACGTACATAAATATTGTGCTTCTGCTGTTGCTACAAATGAAAAGTGTACATAAAGATTGTGCTTCTGCTGTTGCTACAAATAAGTGTAGAGAATCTGGTTCCATGTATCAGGGACACCAGGCAAGCACCAATGTATGCAATCTGCAAAGTGCAAAGGATCTGCCTTCTGCTCATCACTCAATAGCTTCCCTTGAAGCTCATTGTAGATTGATGGGTGACTGTCGATTCTGTACTCCGATAGTTGTGTGATGTTGATGAACGTAACCGGCACTTTCATCCTCTTCGCTACACTGTTCACCACTCTCATCAGCTTCTGGCTCGACCCTGTTCCCCAGTGCCCCTTCTTCATCACTGGCCTTGTTTCGTTGAAGCACTTTATCCCATCTTCCCTCCCCCAATCCGCGCTCCTGATCAATTGACAAAACAATGTTATCATTGCTTTGCACAGACAGTTGTTGTCTGTGTGGCACAGACGATAATGGTCTGTGTAGTATGTTCAGAGTTTGGGGTCATGGTAACCCAAAATGTTGGAGTTACCCTAGAACGACCCATAAGGTTTGGCCAAAATGCTCGGCCAAACTCAAACTTGTTATTCTGAACTTACATGTAGAACCAACTTAACACTTACCTCATGTGCACGGGAGACATTGTGGTGAAGAACACCCGTGTTTTGTTGGGATCGATGTTTGAATCTATCCAGTTTGCCCATGTACGCAATGCAAGTCTATATGCCACATCTGTATCGAATGCTTCATAGCCATCTTTGCCGTTCTTAAATGATCCCCATCTGCATTTGATCAAAACGCATGGACAATGAGATGTGGGTAAATTTTAGAGAAATTTACCTAAATAGGACTAAAACATAATGACTTTCCCAATATAGGACCATATGTTTTTATTTCCCAATGTAGGACTTTTGGTCATTAACAAGTAGTCATTATTCAAGTAAATGTCCATCATTACTGGACATTATTCTTCCCACTAGGTCATTATTAAGTCCTATTTAGGGAATAAAAAAGTTTAAGTTCTACATTGGTAAAGTCATTATGTTTTAGTCCTATTTAGTGCAAATTTTATTAAATTTTATTGGTAGTACCTGAACTTCAAACCTTTTTTCAATTAAGTATCTAAACTTCATTTTCTTTAAAAAAAAACACCTGAACTTAACCAAATCTTTCGAGAAAAAGATTTTAACATGTTTCAATTCATTTGCCGGTCATTTTTCTTAGGTGGAAGTTGAGTTGGGAAGGCATTAATATTGGTACGATTACACCCACCATGCAATGCTACCCGATTGCCTAAGCAAAATGACCAATTGATGACCTGAAACCTGCCTTAAAAAAAATTCTTGAAAGATTTGGTAAAGTTCAGGTATTTTTTATAGAAAATAAAGTTTAGGTACTTAATCAAAAGCGCGTCCAAGTTCAAATGCTACAAGTGAAATTTACCCATATGTTGTGGGATGAGGAAATTGTAATGAAAGTAAGAAAGAAGATGAAGGCCTTACAGAGTGTTGGCCTTGAGGCCACTCATCCACCAGACGTAAGTGTTGAAGACTAGAATGTCTATTCCTACCCATTGTTTTCCACGGGTAGAAATTGAGTCCACCTTGATGATTCTCTTACTTGGATCCGTGATTATATGGATATCCGTGTTAGACTCCACCAAGAACGGCGCCCAATAGAATTCAATTGTAGCATTGTATTCCTGAGCACGCACACACATTTTTTTAAAAAACTGGAATGGTTCTAAATGTCGCAACTAAAAACTAATATCGGTGATTTGGGTACCATAATTCGGAAGACAGAGTGAACCCGACCTCGCTTCATGGACTTCTGGTTTTCTGGAATAACAGAATTAACCAAACACACAAAAGACTCCCACTGGTTTCTTTGTAATGAATCCCCAATGAACATCATCCTCTTACCTTGGATTTTTCTCAGGGCATTTTCGGGATCAAAACTGATAGAAAGTTTTAGTTTATCAGTCAATCTACACTAAGAGTTTAAGGTCATATATGATAAATAAATAAAAATGTAACTGTGACTGCCTAACGAACCGTGGCAAGATGCAGTCATCAGGCTGCCATACCCAGTGAAGATAATCTGAATCTTTTCTGCCATTCTTAACGCAAGAAAATTGTCTGTCAATGTATGGACATGTAATCTCCGTGTATAAAGGCTTAATTGAAGTATTAGACACCCATTTCCCAGCAGTTAGAGTGCATTCCTCTGAACCAAACACAAACCTATCATCTGTTGCATCTGTAATTCGACGGTGTTCCAGTCCATCATCTATGAGCCAGCAAAACCAACCTTTTAGATTATACTCCCTCCGTCCCATAAAAAACTTCACATGGTCAAATTTTATCCACCTTTTTACCGGTTTTCGTTACTCATTTGATAAAATAAGTATTAATGGAAGTTGAAAGATTGAAGGAGTTAAGGGCATTAGAGGAGCGCACCAGCTATAATCTTCTTATGCTTGTCACGCTTCGGGCAGGGCTTGAAAATGTGGTTGGAAGAAAGAAGACTAATTCTAGTCTCAGTATAGAATAGAGCAATGAAAGCCGAAGTGCAGATGAGTGTTGTAAATAGTGATAAAGTTAGTTTTTTTCTGGGAGATTTTTGTGTCCCCCTCATGTTGCACCAGAAGAAGAAGATGGGAAGGTTGACTGTGAATTAAAAGAAACAAAAACAGAGATAATATAAGTTTGGAAAGGTAACATGAAAGATATCTTTTTTTTTTCTTAGGGATTTTTTTTCAAAATGTGTTGAGTAGGAGTGAAGCAAAAGGGAGCTCTCTGTTTGGTATCTTCCTTTCATTATTATTCAGGAAAGTGTATACATCATGATGGAGGCGAGTGAGTAGGTTTCAATTGCAACCTGCACATAATGCTAAAGGGCATGTTTGGGAATAGCGTTAGAGATTAGCGTTTTGGATAAAATTTTAACGGTGCATATTACTTTGAAAACGCTAACGCTAAACCCTGTCCGTAGATAGCTTTTTCAAAACACTAACGCTAATCTTTAACGCTATTCCCAAACAGACCAAAGTGTACATGTTATAGCATTACCATACTGATTGAGATTGGCTGCTGCAGCATTGTAGAAATATACTTGAGCTGCGTATATGAATCAGCTGAAGATACTTGAGACAAAATACTTTGCTGGATCCACACTTGTTTTTAACAAAACCAATTGAGATAAATTGAATACTACAGAGTAATTATTAAAAATTAATAATTCCCCACATCATCATTAGCCTTACGTAATACTTTATCCACCAAATAATAATTTAAATTATACGGAGTAATGATTATTGTACAGACACACCAAATTGAACAAGAAACTTCAATTGACATATTAATTAATCGTACAACAGATTTCAGCCAACTTAGATGGTCATGTTTAACTTTTGAGTAAGCTGGCAATCTCACCCTTCTCATACATGGACATCAAAATATCACACCCACCAACCAATTCCCCGTTCACAAAAACCTGAGGGAATGTGGGCCAGTTACTGTATCTCTTCAGCGTCTCTCTTAACCCGTTGTTATGTTCTTCATCAAGAACGTCAACGCTCTCGTAATCCACACCTTGACTCTCAAGAATCGCGACAACTCTTTGTGAGAAACCACATAAAGGGGCGTTTCTCGATCCTTTAATGAAAGCCACAACCTTGTTCTCCTTCACAAGCCGGTCGATGAGATCTTCAAGTGGCACGGTCAGTTGGACGCGGCGCCCTGGTGTTAACCTCAGATCAGTCTTCTTCTTCTTGGGTTGCTGATGAATCCATGTTGTGTTTCCAGAACCATTGCCTGGGGGTACCTTACCAGTAACTGCTATATGTTCTTCGATCCACGACCTCCAAGATTGAGTCAAAGCTGTTTTGTCAGGGTCATCCACTACATCAAACTACAATATGAAAGCTCCATTAGTAGAGCTTTCCATTTGAATCTTACCCATCAAATTGGATTGCCTCATTTTCAAGGAACAGTTTTCCATGGAGTCATCTCACATCAAACAAATTTAAAACACCAAACAAACATGCATAGTCCATTTGAATCTTAGCTGTGAAATTGGATTACCTCATTTTCAAGGAATACAGAACAATGGAGAGTGACTTTGTGTTTGGTTTGTCAAGCATGGAGTCAAATTTCCTCCATTTATGTTATATGAAAATAATCTTTCCATCCTTAACTAACAAACACTACTGTTATGAAACCCCAAACCTTATCAAGTATAATGAGGAAAATCCCAGGTATATTTGAATAAGTTTAAGTTCCTAAATTGACATAATAGATGAACATCGAAGTCTAATCCAGTGAATCAGCTCATTAGGGATTTTATATATGTTTATGATCAAATTCTCATTGAAAGAACTTATAGTGAGTTTCCCCCCTCTAGATTTAAGAAAATAAACTAATCGACATTTTTCAAAACTAGTTCATGAATTGCAACCATAGTTTATGAGCTTTCAAAATTCAACCTTGACAGAAGAACAGAGATCGGGAAGAGACATTTTGTGGGAGAGTATACTGGCGGCCAAGTTTCTGGATATGCCAATAAATTGCAGATCGCCATTACTGTCGTAGACAGCGTAGACACCGGAAGCTTTCGGGAAAACGGCATCAATTGCGCCTTGCTCCGATGGAACAGAAACCGAATCCGTCTCTGAGAGCTTGTTTGCAACGAAGACGGAGACGTTCAGAAGCCGGGGTTTTGTTCTGTTTATCGGTCGGAGGGTTACCGAAGTGAAGATGGGAGAAGATTTCGGGAGAGAGTGGAAGGAGAGAGTAGAGGCATTGTGTGAATAGCAGACGGATGGAGACGAAATAGAAGACCGGGGGCTCCCCGCCGCCGCCGGAGATGAAAAACTGATCGTCGCCATCGATGATGATGAAGGTGATAAGATTGGAGACGACTGGGACTGTGAATGCGTGAAATCGGAGCGATTGCTGTTTTACTGTTTTAGTAAGAAATCCTTTTGGGCCCTTTATGTTTTCGTGAGTCCAAACTCCAAAGAATTTTGGGAAAAAAGAATAATTAAAATAGAGTTAAAAGATATGTATCCCATTTGTCCCTCACTCCCTCCATAACCACTCAAATAGGCAAGAAAATTAAAAAAAAATAAGTAAATAAAAATCAAATACAAATGAGTGGTTATGGATGAGGTGAGAGACAAATAGGGTACACCAAAAAATGGGGTACACATTTGGTGTACCCCTAGCATCTCCCTAAACATAGGGTTGGATCCTCTATACCAATTCCTTTATCCCACTTTTGTTTTGCACCAATGCCCCCTAATCCAACCCCCCTCTCACTCCTATTCAATTATAAACGCAAACAAATTTAAAAAAAAACACATAAAATATATTCTAGTTTTATAGTCCAAATGAAATTAAAGCTTTGTTTCAAATAATAATAAATGAAATAAGAATAATATTTATGTTGAAAAGTATTATAATTCCATAGTAAGAAATATTAAAATAAGCTTTTATTTCATTTGGAGTATAATTTTATTTTTTACATTTGTTTGTGTTAATATTTGAATACTATTTAATATTTACATTGAAAAACGTTAATTAAGAAATAGAACATAAAATAACTAAGCTCTAATTTCATTTGGAGCAGAATACTTTTTATGTCTTTATTTTTTTAAAGATCTGTTTGATTTAAAAATTATTCATGTAAAAAAGTACTTGCTATATCAATATTCACTTGCTATCATGTATAAATACTAAATCCATATGACAAGCATGGTTGGAGATGCTCTTACTAATAATCTATCCATCACATCTTACTTTTATCCATCACATTAAGAATATTTTTGTATAGTCAACATCAAAATATCCCTCCCTTAATTTCCCAAAAAGTCAATAAGGAAAGTTTATTGGGAGACGGAGGGAGTATTTCTTAATTAATGTTTTTCAATGTAAATATGAAATAGTATTCAAATATTAACACAAACAAATGTAAAAAATAAAATTATACTCCAAATGAAATAAAAGCTTATTTTAATATTTCTTACTATGGAATTATAATACTTTTCAACATAAATATTATTCTTATTTCATTTATTATTATTATTTGAAACAAAGCTTTAATTTCATTTGGACTATAAAACTGGAATATATTTTGTGTGTTTTTTTAAAATTTGTTTGCGTTTATAATTGAATGGGAGTGAGAGGGGGAGGGGGTTGGATTTGGGGGCATTGGAGCAAAACAAAAAAAGGAAAATAAAAGAGAAAATAAAAATGGACATGTAGTCGTGCCTCAACTATGGGATAGAGGAGTGGGATAGAGGAATTGGTATAGAGGATCCCACCCCCCCTAAACATATCCCTCCCGCGTCACTCAATCATTTTCATTTTAAGTAAAATGAAGTAAAATTTTAAATTTTTTCAATTTGTTTTATTTAAAGATTGGTATATACATAAAAAAACACATTAGAAGTTCTACAAAACTAGGTGACAAGATGTTAAATATATGTTGTATATTTAATATATTTTATATATTTGGTAGTTTCCCTTGTATAGAAGGATTGCATTTATATCCTACCATAATTAGGAGACTTGTCTCTTGTATATATTCGAGGCTTGACCTCCGAGATTAATACAGAAATTAATCTTTCTTCATGGTATCAGAGCCTCTTTCCGTGGCCTAAAACCTAGAAACTCCTTCTCTCTCGTGCGCGTCTCACAGCCGCACTCCCCAAACCCTAACGCCGCAGCCCACTGCTCGGCGTTCCCCCCCTCTATCTCACCGGGGACTGCCATTCCCCAGCAGCGCCACTCACAGACAGCAATCTCCCCAGCGTTGCACCAGCAGTCTCTCCAGCGACGCACTAGTGCAGCAGCCCCTCTCCATGGCCGAGAAACCTTCCTCCGACAAGTCTCCTTCCCCGGTCTCAACTCCTCACCTGGCTTTCACGACCATCTCGAACGTGAAACTTCACGTTCCGATCCTCTTAAGCTTTACGGAGCCGAACTACCAAAAATGGAGCCGCCTCTTTCTCCTATTGGTTCGGCGCTTCTCCCTCGGTGACTTTCTCACCAGAAAATCGGTCCCCTCCAACAACGACGACACCGATTGGTACCAACTCGATGCTCTTATCCAGGGTTGGATCCTCTCAACGATCAACGACGAGGTATCCGACTTAGTCCTCTCCTCTACCGACTCGGCGTCCGAACTTTGGCGATCCATTCACTCTCTTTTTCATGACAATAAACCGGCCCGGGCAATGCAACTGGAGCACCAATTCCGGACAACGAAGAAAGGCTCGCTCTCCATATCGGCTTATTGTCAAACTCTCAAGAATTTAGCCGATTGGTTGGACGACGTAGATGCCCCTGTCTCGGAACAGCAGTTGGTGTTGCAGGTTCTCCGGGGGCTGCCTGACGACATGCGGGGTCAAACCTCCTTCCTCCAGTTCCAAACTCCTCCGCCAACGTTTCTTCAAACCCGCTCAGCACTTCTTCTCCTGGAGCGTCAGCAATCCGACTTGGACAGCGCCGATCCATCACCTGGCACGGCCCTCTTCTCGGCTGGTCACACCGGCGCTCACCCACACAGCCCCATGGGTGGGGGTCGTGGTTCCTTCAGCAGCAGCGGCGGTCGAGGGCACTCAGGCAGCGGCGGCAGTCGAGGAAGGGGAGGTCAGCGCAACCGTGGACGAGGCCGAAGCTCCGGGTCGAATCCCCGCACCACCCATGGACAGCAGCCCTGGCAGTCACCAAACCCTAGCCCCTACCCCGGCCTTCTCGGCCCCAAGCCCACGTACCCACCCCTACCNCAGCCCGCAACCCCACCACCCCCTACACCCACTGCTTTAGCCCACAACTTTGACACCCTTAGCCTCCGTGACCCCACGTGGTACATGGACACCGGTGCATCTCACCACATCGCCTCCGACCAAGGTACACTTTCTCATGTTCGTTCTCATTCTTTAAATTCATCCTCATATATTACTGTTGGTAATGGTTCTAAGGTTCGCACTACGGCTACCTGTAATTATTACTTTCCCACCTCCCCCACTTTGTCCCTACATAATATCCTTATATCCCCACATATCATCCATAACCTTATCTCTGTTAGACAATTCACCCGTGACAATAATTGTACCGTTGAATTTGACCCAACTGGTTTTTCTGTGAAGGATATGCAGACAGGGTCCGTGATTCATCGGTCCAATGATGCCGGCCCACTCTACCCTATGAGCCCACAAGCCACCAAGGCCCAAGCCAACATCACAACCATTGATCCAGAACTATGGCACCGGCGTCTTGGCCACCCCAGCCACAGCGTCCTTCGTGGAGTCCCGTCCTTATCTAAGTGTCTTAATAAACATTTTCAGAATTCTTTATGTCATGCGTGTCAATTGGGAAAGCATGTTCGCCTCCCATTTATGTCATCGAGTCGTATTTCTACTTTTCCCTTTCAACTTCTTCATACTGATTTGTGGCAATCCCCCGTTCCCAGTGTTACAGGCTTTAAACATTATATGTTACTGTTGGATGATTATTCTCATTATTTGTGGATTTTTCCTTTAAAGCATAAATCTGATGTGTGTTCTCACCTTAAACACTTTGTTGCTTTTGTGAAAAATCAATTTAACTCCACAATTAAAGCCGTTCAATGTGACAATGGCACCGAATACCGAAACACACCACTCAAAACCATCTTTGAAAGTCTGGGCATCATCTTCCGTTTTTCATGCCCCCACACTAGCCAACAAAATGGTCGAGCCGAACGCACCATCCGCACCATCAACAACACTGTTCGCTCTCTCCTCTTTCAAGCCAACCTCCCACCCAGTTTTTGGGTCGAAGCACTCCACATGGCCACTCATCTTTTCAATATTCTCCCCACCACCACCCTCAATTTCCGCACTCCTCACGAAGTCTTCTATGGCCAACCCCCCACCTACTCTCACCTTCGAGTATTCGGCTGCCTCTGTTACCCAAATATAACTGCCACCACTGCTCACAAACTCGCCCCTCGCTCGGCCCGGTGTGTCTTTCTCGGATACCTGCCCAACCAACGCGGGTACCGGTGTCTCGATCTCCAAACTCACAAAGTCATCATCTCCCGTCATGTCGTATTCGATGAACACATTTACCCCTATAGTCACCACTCTAATCCCACAAAGTTAGCTTTCCTCGACTCCACGGAGGACGACACCACCCCCTACCACCTTAAATACCCTCCCACGGCCCACCCCAAC